GGGAAGTGATGTCATCATGCAGCGATGTCGGGCAACACTCTGGTATTCGGGCAAAAGCTCTGTGGTAAATTTGGTTTCTTCCATACAATATAAGAACATAAGAGAAGCCATGTTGAATTAGGCCGATGCCCCATCCAGTCCAACACTCTGTCACCCAGTGGCCAGAAATACCAGGTGCCATCAGGAGGTCCACCAGTGGAGCCAGGACACTAGAAGCTCTCCCACTGTTGCCCCCCCCACACCAAGTACACAGAGCATCACTGCCCTAAACATAGTACTCCATCTATACCTTGTGGCTAATAGTCACTGATGGACCTCTGCTCCATATGTTTATCTAATCCTGTCTTGAAGCTGTCTATGTTAATTACTCTTTGGGCGAAGAAGTACTTCTTTTTATCTGTTCTAAACCTACTAGAGTTTTTATCCAAATACCAGAACGTTGCCCCGCCGTCACTGATGTGATGACGTCACCGCAATGTTGGCTGGGTGTTGTTTGGGGGGGGAGTCTCCCCTCCAGCCAGCTGATTGGCAGTGGGTTAGTAGGGCCTGGTCCTCTCCCCTCCCCAAAATCAAGTTGCCTTTTGCAAAAAACTAAGATTACTCAGGAGGAGCCTTGATTTGAACCAACCATTACAGATCTAACCTCTCAGGCCAAATCACATCACCCTTAACAGACTGCTTTCAGCCCCAGAAAGAAAAAGGGGAAAAGAGAGGCCCAATATGCATACTCGTCTTGTTCCCCCACCAGTACTTAAGGCAGCCTGAAGGGTTATTTCCAGTTGAGAAACAAGACTGCAGTGAGGGAGCATACTTACACCCAGCATCAAAGGCCTCAGTTCATATGTCCCACTGCCTTTTTAAGGTTCACAGACATGTCTGGAGTCCCAGTCACTGAACTCCAACAGCACGTGTAGTCTGGCCCTTATTTGAAACTAACTTTTACTTGATTATATGATATCCGCATACACTAACATTTCTCTAATGTAGCAACATCTGAAATATCTTACAAGTTAAATGATCTTGCATGTCAGACTCCTGAGCCCTCGTGTCAGAAGGAAAATAAGCTGCCACTCAAAGTACCTGTCTGGGTGGGTTTCTCCAGATCCAACAGAGTAAGGTCGTTGCTGGAAGGAACCCACTGAAGTTGAAGTGGACGTATGCAGTTTTCACAAGGACCTCGGCCCAGCCTTTTATGGTGGGCAGCAGATAGGCGATCCTGTCTGAACTCTCCACACGTTCAATCGAATACACGTTTGTAGCAAAGTAGTATTTATTGAAGTAATGAAGAAAGCTGGTACACAGGGATTGTTTGGAATGGCTAGGAACTGCAGGGCACCAGATAATAAACAGATTCATACAATGCAATAACCAATAATCATGGTTCCCGCTTTCACGGGTGCTTCTGAATTGCGCGCCTAAAGCCTGAGAAGAAAACGGTCTGCAAAGATAAACAATTACTAGTTTCTCGTGACCTAGCTCATTATAGCATACTTGAAGACACAACTCCATCTCCACACCTGTTGACCTTGTAGATAACTACGTTTCAATGCAGTACTAGCGTACATAGAAAGGAATGCAGTTTGCAGGCCACTGGTAGCATACATGCGCATTGGGGTCGGAGAAAACCAGGGAGGGCAGAGAAGGACTATACACAGGTTACACAGAGTTCTTTGGCAGCTTGCTGACAGATCCCTAGGACAACGTTGTCTGTGTGCACACTAGAAGAGAGATAACATGTTCTGTTCACACCATTTATTCATTTATTTGTACCCTGCTAAACTGAGGCTATTGTACGTTGGTCACATCATGAGAAAAAACTCACTGGGGGGAAAATAACACTAGGCAAAGTTGAAGGCAGCAGAAAAAGAGGAAGGCCCACCATGGGATGGACTGACTCAATAAAGGGAGCCATGGCCTTCAGTTCGCAAGGCCTGAGCCAGGATGTTAATGACAGTACATTTGGGAGATCATTAATTCATAGTGTTGCCATAAGTTGGAAGTAGGGTTGCCAGGTTCCCTCGTCACTCCAGCGGAGGGATTTGGGGGATGTTCTAGGGTGGGCGGGGATGCCCCCAAGCCTCGCCCCCAAGCCCTGCCTCCAAGAGTGACCACCCGCCTGGCCACTCCTCTCCTTCCCCTCCTGCTAGATCCCCACCAATCAGCTGAAGCCCTTTAAATCTGGCAGGAGGGGGAGGGAGAGGGGTGGCTGGGCAGGTGGTCACTTTGGGGGCAGGGCTTGGGATGGAGCTTCCCCCACCAGCCAGCTGGCCAGGGGCGGATTGGAGCCCCCAAAAGCAGGGGAACTCCCTCCGGGACCTGGGGGCTGGCAATCCTAGTTGGAAGCAACTTGACTGGCACATAACACACACACACACACACAGCTTTTGTCCCCAGAGGGCCCCAAAGCAGCTTACAACAGAAGAACAACAACACTATGCTATTGTCATGTAGACACATTGCATCTCAGTGCAGCAGGAGATAATTCCTTTTCATTGAAAAGTAATACTGCAAATTATCTATATACATTTCATCCTCCAGTTTGTGAACACCCATACAGGTTCCATGGTTTGTGGTACAGCACCAGCAGTAACTTGACACAGATTGTGTTACATTCTCCAGCCCAAGAAACATCCTCCAGAATGATGCCTGCCAGAATGAGTCCAAAACTCCGAAGGGTATGGTATTTGTACATGCCTAAAATTGCAGTGTCCAGCTGTCAGGACCCAGCTCTCGCCAATCAACATTCCTGTACAGAAGTGCTTGTCCTCATACTGCAGGCTAACAAGCCAAGGCCAGGTCTTTGGGGTTGCGAGGTTGCCAACAACCAACCTCAGCTTGCTCTGCTCTCCGTTTGATGTATTTGCAGACACTTCCTCCACGGGGAACGGGTCCTCCAGTGGAATTCCACATTGTCCTGAAATTAGAATAATTCAAAAGAAATAATCGACATCCAGCAAGAATATACAAAATTCCTTTCGTTATGGGTTCGTGCTGTCATTCTCCAACAGCTGATCAATTTCACATTTGAGGGGCTTGTTCAGAGATTCAAAAAAAATTGGATTTGGGTGCTAGAACTAATTTAGGAAATAACTGGACATAGTGCCCCACAAGGCCCAATGATGGTCTTATTGCATTACCTTCCTTAAAGACTGAGTGCAAAATACAGATCTAGAAATTATATTGAGAACATAAGAAGAGCCCTGCTGGATCAGACCAAAGGCCCATCGAGTCCGGCATTCTGTTCATCCAGTGGCCAACCAGCTACCTCTAGGAAGTCCACAAGCAGGATGACCGCAACAGTATCCTCCCACCCGTGTTCCCCAGTAACTGATTTAAAGAGCTGTTGTGCCTCTGGTACTGGATATTAAATACTCAATTTATTGTTAGCTGCACAGCTGCGCATAATAGCATATTGGTATAGGACAGAACTTCCTACAACCTCAGAATGGCTATACAGAATTTGGAGAACTGCCTATATGACAGAATTAACCTATTATAAACAACAGTTATCTGATATTGGTTTTGGGTTCACATGCATTTGTTGAGCAATGGAGTTTTTTGAGTATATTTTGGAAGAATAACAAAACAAAAAGCCATCAAAATATGCCCTAATCCCATAAACCCAATGCAGTGTTTCCAGTAAGTAAAGTTACTTATAAAGACACACTCCACCTTTTAATTTTGACACACCTAGTACAGCATGGAACAGCACGATGGATTCTGATGGTTACTGTGACTCTAAAAGCAAGTATAGTATGAAAGGCCACCTAGTGGAGAACTATCCATCCAATCATGCCATCTGGCCATTGACATACCAGCCCAGTTTGGTTATCCCAGTAGAGCAGCATGCAATGTGGTGCAGATCACAGGGCTGGTTGAGCACACAGATTAAGTATATTCAGGTGCGAGTGTTCAGGTCTGAGTCTGTCAATCAGAAGATTGACACCAATTTTATCCCATTGGCTCTGTATGAAGGACAGGAAGTGTGGGGGGGGGGCAGAAAACAGGGCATGCAGAATGGTATTTACTTGCTTCAGAAGCAATTAGTTTACCGGGTAGACCTGAAAGAGAAGTGACATCATCTATCAGTTCATGGTTTTTTTATCCATCTCTGTTAGGTCTTTTGTTTTTAGCATCTCTGTTAGGACTTTTGTTTCATAGATGTTTATAGCTGCTCATGTAAGTGGTTAATTTTATTGCATAACCTCAAGGAGGACATAGGCCACCTAACCCATCTCTTGGAGTGTGCTATGGAATTAAAAAGG